TTGGAGTGGTTGACTACATAAGGCCTCGTTAGGTTAAGCGTGGTACTGAAGCGGACAACAGTAAAGCAATTTACCACTAAAGTTGATTGGCAGTGGCGGGGCTCGAACCTCGGAACAGAGGGTCGAAGTCACACTGGTGACAGCGACTAAACCACTGCACCAAAAACAACACTTGTATTTGAAAAGACTTTAGCGTGGACAGAAGACCGCATTTCAGTCGAAAATTACACATCTAACTGAAACTTTCCTTTTTTCAACAGACTAAAAATAGTACCCCAGATGTTTAACAAACTCCCGACTTCATAGATGAAAGCACAGTGCTGGAGATTTTTCATATTCAAAGTTCTGAAAAGCAACAAATAAGATGCAGCTCCGGTACGGTCTCAAGTATTTGCTTCTGTTTTTACTTCAAAAATATAATTGATTTGGTTTGGAAAATAGTAGAGTTTAAGCCCTCAAAGGGAATGCATTAGTGGAGCTTCGATAAAGGCATCGCCATCCCATGCTGACCTGTAAGGATTTGCTGACAAACAGCGTCAATCATTAGAGTGCCATACATTAACAACAGGCACGGATTCAGTACTGAAGCAGCGGTTGACGAACAGAAAACCAATGGTATGAAACTAAGATGAGACTTATCAAGTAGCTTGGGGACCAAATCACCATTGCTAGTCACCGTCCCAGTTGTACATGTCATCTTATGATACGCTGTGTCCGATCGATGCAGCCTAATGGCATCGGGTAAGTGCGCGTTTGTAATGTGATCAAACTTACTTTCAAACCGCGAAATTCTTCTGTTCGAACACGCTCCCGGTAACAGTACCATCGATGACTCGTTTCAGTCTCCTTGTTGTCCGGTTTAGAATGATCCCATTCTCGTTCAACCACGGTGATGAGCTCCGCAAATCGATCTGCATTACTCAAACTCAGGGGACGTGTGTATCGTGTGAGAGATAGTAACTTGTTGCGCGAATTCTATGGAACAAAGATAACGAGAAAGATTGATCAGATCGGACGACTAGTTCACCTTGTTGAGAGGAAACAAAAAAACACACGAACAAATCACTGATTAAATCAAGCCCGATTACATTGGACTATGGGTAGCACATTATGATGAACGTTCTGTAGTATGCGTAAAGTTCACTGGATGATTATCGAGTGGTTAGCTAGTCAGTTCAACGATCGTTCGCCTGCATTGATCAAGGAATTGAATCCGAGAAGTGTAGACTGCTAGAGAAGAAAAATGTGGAAACATTGTGGATGAGGGAATAGAAACTACTGATTGAGAGCAGGTTCGTACGCTGAGTCAAAACTTCCAGAACACAGACAGTGACTAAAACGATTATAGTTGTTTCATTCTGACCATGTATTTGCAGTTAAAATTTGGAGACTCCGAATCCATCGCCGCTTCTCCGGTTACGTGACTCGTACGCGTAAATTTTTAGTCACATGAGTTGGGAAATCTCATTCAGACATTCAGAGTCCAGTAGAGAGATGCCCCCGGGTGTCCATTGCATCTTTGACCAACAGTAAAAGATAGTAATGAAGATCACGCAATCGAATGGTGCGATGGAATACGCACTGGGATACAAGGAATCGCCGAAAAACACAGAGTCGACCTATTACTTTGTACCCACGACTATGAAACATGAATCTGAGCGCCTTCGAAAAGTCATGCGAAGATGACTTGTGACACCAACGAAACGCAGTGTCTAACAGTGGAAGCATTTTAAGATCAGTCCACTTCGGTGTGCACAAACATTCAAGTTTAAAGTTCATGCGCTGGCTTTGGTTCTTGTCTCTTGGTTACCCCTTCGACTCGAGATAGAAGGCAGAACCAAGATAACGTTAACCAATAGACATGTGAAGTGAGTAGATATGAACATGCATCGATACAACACCCAGTGCAGGCAATTATATACTAGACCGATAATAAGGTCCCTAGCTGGAAGTAGTAACATTCGATGCCTCACACTAAGTAACACATTAATCCTTCACACACGCACACACAAACAACTTTCCTCGGCTTTCTCATCTTCATTATCCATGTAAGTAAACCTTGTATGTAGAGGCTAAATCCGTGGCAGAGGCAATCGACGTTCGAAGATCAGAACCCAACCGAAATTATTCAACACTTGTTGTCAGACCTAAACAAAGTTCGACTCGGTATCCTATCGGTTTCCCACAATATTGGGCTGACTGTGCCGTTGGAACGCCGGTATTCAATGTGTACCGGTAGTGGTCAAACGGTTCAACTTGCTACCGCTGGCGTATTTTGAGCCAAAGGTTCAGGATTCGTTTCCCGACATGAGAATCAAACCTCGTTTCAGCCGTCTATCGGTTCAATACCATGCTTTATGTGGTACGACACTTTAAGTGACATGACACAGATTGCCTGTTACCGTGTGTGAACTGTCGGTCCTCGTAACTGAGGTTTGCTGCTATCCATCATAAAACAGTGTTTAAAAACATCGAGTTAACCAATGACTATACATTTGTTGTATAGCCTGTTACTGATAGGGTACATCGTAGTGTTGAATGGAGGATGCTACAGAAGCGGATGTCGCATGAATGAATTGCGGTCCGCTTGAAAATCGATACAGCAAATAATGTAAAAAAAATTGATATTTGAAATGACTGCAATGTTTCAAACGCTAACTGGAATATGTAAGTGACCAACCGTAAACAAAAATTTTCCACCCATGGATTGCGAAAAGAAATTTGGGAAATTCCAAGACCGGGTTGGAAATTGCCCAAGCAAAATTAAAGAGTGCCGAAAGTAACGTACGCATTAGCGAAACCAAAAAATTAATCCTTTCATGAGGTGTCGGTCGAACAGGCCTTCATAAGATAATGCAGCCTTGGAAAATGATGGTACAAAGCCAATTCACGCACGACGCGTGATGTTCCACTAAGCCGTGTTAGACCGATCTTTCATGAAGGACAAGGCACTTTGGTTTCAGAAATCCGTAGCTTACCGGTGACAATACCCCCAATAATCACGATAATGTTTATTAAAGTTTGGCAAACTCTGAGTTGAAATGGTATAGTTACAACAGATGTAATCACTAACCGTGGAACCCGACTCAGTTGTCTCGGACGCGCATGAGAAAGTTAGACAACGCAAACGCCGCAAAAACAACATCACACTGGGCACAAGGGTCTCACGAGTCAGCTGAATGACTGCAGACAATTGGAGCCCCGGCGCATTGGATTTGGCTGTGAGGGGTAACACGAACAAGGTGGTACACCAAGCAGGGATTTGGCAAGGCAACGGCCACGAACGCGTCGGAAGAGGGGAAGGATGGGTACCGGATGAAGCGCACCATTCGGGGATCAGAAGTGAAACCGGTAGAGCTCCCGGTGCAGATGGATCTAGAGTGGATTCGCGAGATTGGCGATGAAAGCGTACATGGAATCCGTTTGAATGAACTTCCGGTGCATCAGTCACATTGAACACGGACTTGAATCCAATTCCCTTGCGACCTGACGGAATATAAACAACAAACTGGAAATGAACCTGGATCGAAGAACTCGAAGGAAGTGAAAAAGTTATCCTAAAAAAATATCATACACTACATCAGATGTGATATGGGCACTCCATATGAAATGTTTACACAATTGAAGTCACATCGATAAACAGGTGTGACATTGGAATTTTGTATTCTGGTGGACGATTAGGATGAAAATCAGCCGGGTATGCAATGGTTAACATCAAGTGACAGGAGATGAAGCTTACCAGTTTTTGAGTCACGATCTTGCACCTTGGTGCTCACACCCACATCACACAAAGACGCAATATCGTTTTCCGTGAACCCCACTGCCTCATTGTTCATGATCAGTAATGCGGATTTCGGTTCGACTGAGGAATGAGGATGCAAAACAGCACAGAACTCCAAGGTAGGTAACTGTTCAGTTTGGTCTAATAGCTCAGTAACGTACTGATTGTCATCTGCGTTTTGGATTAGTTCGAGGAGAAAGTGTCCCGGTGCACCATACAAGTCTTCAGACAACTGGACAAGACTTCGCGCCAATTTCCCCTCCATGCGCTGAGGGAGTAAAAAGAAACGGGGCAGTTATAATGTTATGCAAATTTGGATATTTCGGTCACAAAAATTTACCATTATTTTTTTTAATAAATTTACAGGGTGTATATAGTTTAAGTTTATTTTGAGCAATCATTGACCTTGTACTTTCGTGCACACAAGTGACAATTAACCACCAGCGACCTCATTCTAAATCAGGCGTTCTGAGAGAGTTGTTTCGTCACAGATTGCCAGTTCTTCCGTATTGCACAACTCTTGAAACCTTGCAAAAATTTCGTTTTTGTTGCTAATTCTCGATTGTATATGTGGCTCATAAATATATGGGAGCATAAATGAGGGCATGAAACCTTATCATGTTAAGGCGTTTAATCTACGCGGAATGACACTGACAAAGATACAGTTCATACTGCGGCTGTAAGACACAGCATCCAACCGTCAGTGTCGTTAGGAGTATAGGACTTCACATGAGAGGGATATTTATGCCCACTGCTGAAACAGTTTGAAAATAATGAATTGACGTAAGTGTCGTGTAAGTATTTATAAGGTAGTCAACATATTACTTAACTGTTTGTGAAAGCGCTCCGTTTCTTCCTTTGTACAGAAATACCTCCCTAGTCAATTGAAAATTGGAATCACAAGCTACCTTATTCGGACTAAACGAATATCAGCACTAAATGCAAAACTTTGACCCTAAGAAGATAACCATATAATAGGTGCAGCGATGGGAAAATATTTGAGTCTCAATCCACAGTCGAGAGCATAGGTCAGGAACTCTAAGCGGACACTTACTCGGACAAGATCAGCTGCCTCGTCATCCAAATTCGCTCCGCAACCGAATTCGCGTCTTCGCAGCTCTTGAATGAATTCTCGTCTTGATGAGCAAGTGATGAGGGACAAATTATCCGCTGCAGTACATTGTACGGGCACAGGTTGCACGGTTGTCTGAGTATCAAGTTGTTTTGGTGACTGTTCATTCACAGACAATTGTGAATCCACAGCCGATGACTGAAGAAAATGAGGGAAGCATAAGCGGATCACTGATTGGTTTCCATCTCAATCAGTGCATGGGAATACAACATTATTGTGCTTGTATTTATTTATATGAATCTCCTATCAAATATACTTTGTATGTGGCTACTAGACGGTATCGGTGAGGTCAACACAAGGATAAGACTACTATTTTGGCTGACATCAACTCATTTAATTGCCTAAGAAAGTAAAGGGTGACAAACATGTTCTAAAACCGAGAAACTTCTTCATTCATATTGCGCACCTTTTCACGCATTTGTCATTTGCATTACCGTAGCTGTGGTCCGGGGAATGAAGATATTCGAATGAGTTTACAGTAAATCAAATACAGACTGAACTGAGAAGTGATCATCGATTCACATTGAGCCAAACTGATTCTACTAACGATCGCGATCTTATAAGTGAGTTGACGCATTTCTGTAAACCACGTAAAATATGTTGACCATGTGGTTCGCAGGTTATTCCAGAGATATAAAACCAAAGACGACAAAGGTCTGACCCTGGAGCGATCACATCACCAAGCAGCCTAAATATATGGAAAATGGTGAACCTTTTTATGTCGTAAGGATTCTCGGTCGGGGCCTAGTGGATCAATCAAAACAANCAAGGTCTGAAGAGAAGGAGTAAGGGACAAGATTTTTCGCAAAAAGATGACAACCAAAACCCAAACAACGAAGTAAAAAATCGGCAATACGAATCAAAATCGAATCCACTGGGCAAGAATGGTTCAGAGCGAAGCCTACAGTAAGTCTTATAACGACTTGGTTAGTCGATAAATATACAGAACGCAGATTGGATAGATACTGATCTTTCATCCATGAGTTCATATGTCACTGGCAGTGAGCACACTTATAAGCATTTTGATAATAAATTGAAATGGTAAAAAACGCAACCGAAGATTAATCACAGGACTTGTGTAATCTGGAGTATTGTGGATTTGCATTTCCTGGATATGCATACACATCATTAATGGAATGCTTGTGCAACATCACTTAGTGAACGACCATAAATTCCATAAAGTACCAAGTAGTTTAAGAGACGAGTATGAAAACAATTCAATAACGGGTCTAATGCACCTTGGTTTGGCGAAACGGGGTCAAATGGTACTGCATGATCCTCTGTTGTCAGCTTGGACCTATTTGTTCTAAGGAAAAAGGTTTCTGCGTTTTGCAGTGGCACAATTGAAGAGGTTCGTCTTCGCTTAGATGCTGCGAAAACTTCAGCCGTCAAAGTTCATTGCCACGTTTTAGATCGATTTTGGCATAATTGAGATATGTAAACAGTCCTTTTAGACCAAAATTGGTAAAAATAAATCGGTAGCCTCTATTTCATGAGCGACACATACAACTTGGTGAGTGAATGGGTTTTTGTGCGCGTCAGGATCACGGTTTGCCATTTTATTCAGTTTTTGTAAGTGAACACAGGTTGAATTCTCACTCCACAGTGCCCTGCTCCATTACTGGAAAGCACAATACAAGATGACAAAGTAGATCGAGTTGATGCTCAAAACGAACCGTGGTTTTCTCTACAATCGTTGTCAGATTCGATGATGAATCATCACTTTTCTTGTCACTGACGGGCGCATTCACCTCTTTGGACGGAGGGTGCAAACGATGTGATTCGAAAAAGCGCACGAACTCTGGCCAACCAAGTTCCAAACCGAGATTTCCGATAGATGAAACAAGGAGAGATAGCTCAGAGTTTGAAACCGAGGGAACGCGAAACAGTTGATCCAGGTATGTGACGGGTTTAGGGCCGATATCCATTGAGACGATATCTGGCACATCCTCAGGCCAAGAGGATGAAGGTCGTACACCGATCTCTTCCAGACATGGTACGAGAAACTGGAGAAAATTAGACAAAAAAAGAATAAAAGTACGCATAACCAAAGAAATCCAGTAACGAGATGATAGGAAAGCCTAGAGAAAGAATTATCCCAAATCTGATAGATCTACACTGAGAAATCTGTAGTTTTTATTGGCTTACGCGTACGGTCTCCCTCCGCTACTGTTGGCGTGCAAACTCGTGCTGTGTAATCAGGGGCGTTTTGCTGGGTTACGGAAGCGGAACCTGCGAGTTTGTGGAACTGGGCACGAAGAGGTTAATGTTGTATGTTCATTTTATCTTCGTTCTGCACTAATATGACTTGCTACTCACCAATTTCATCCATTGTATGTACACTGCATGCAAATGGTTTGGTATTCCGCCGGCATAAAATTGCTCCTTACATAGTTGCTACTGGCCGTTGTCAGTATTGAGATTCTATGATCGAACTGTTCAACAACGGTGAGTAGGCCTCTCATCAACAGCTTCAAGACTAATCGATTCAATCAGTCCTTTTCTAGGACACAGGATTCCAAGTTCACATCATTACATCGCATAATAAAATGATGGAGCACATAAACTAGCTGAAATTTCAGGAATAATGACTAATCTTAACCCATCATTCGATCAACGGTCAATCGCATAACTTTTCCTCGGGGAGGGGGCGGAGTAGACGAACGGTAAGACCACACTCATCAAAACTTTCATCCTGGCCGAGTAACTCAATCAAAAATTGATTTTGTGCTTTCATGGAGAAATCACTTCATTCTGAATGAACGAGGTTTTGATAGACTCAGCCTGATAAGTGACGTATGACGACCGAAGTACCTTGTGCAGTCCCCAGTAGAATGTGGTTCGTTAGACTCACTTGAGATTACGACGTATTCACTGGATATTACAATGATTTCACCTGAAGACGAAACAGTAAAATTCCCCCGTTTTCTGTACCCTTATTCCCATTGAATGCCCCTAGCTTTGAACTCTGATTTATTTTTCAGCCGATCAAATGGGTAGTCGAAGACAGCAATCAAGTGCGCCAGAAGACAAGCTAAGAGCTAACCACACGCGGTCATATGCGTGAGAAGCGTAAGAATTAAGCTTACGTTGGGTAAAACGCCAAGAGATTGTGTTAGATGATGTGGTGAATAGAAAACGAACCTTTTCGAACAACGGTCCAAGAAGGGAGGTCGGACAACAGAAATGCAAATCTCGAGCCAGTGCACGCCAGTTTGGTGTACCTGAGGAAACATCATGAAAATGTATTGCTTCATATCAGTAGAGTTGTATCAAGAGAAAATAAAGCAATCAAAGAAATCCCAACGAAATTCACGTATTTAAAATTTGTCTGTTTTCTCAGGGTGTAAACTAATTCGTTACATCTTTAAAATTATTTGCACTGTTTAGATCTGCAACGTAATTTAAATAACAATAGTAGGCAAGAAAGCGATGGAACGACTGAGGAAAGAAACATAACACATGAGTTGGTAGAAATCAGCTAGCTCATCGCACATCGGAGAAACTTAAATGAACTAAGTTTATAGCCTCTGCTGAAGAAGCCCTACTCACTGCCTGTAAGTGACGGAGGTGTTTTCCCACCAAAGTGAGAGGACGAAAATCCGACATTCGGGGCTATAACCGGGTTGGTGGACCACTGGTAGGTTACCTAGGGGAGTAGCCCAAAAACCCTGATTCCAAACCAACCAAGAGGAGTCGTACGAACCACACACACAACTTCCGGGTTGTGGCAGTGGTCACCGGTTCGATTGGGGATCGAGGTGATTTGGGCACCTTGGACGTTTGACGCGCATGATTCGATAAACTGGACACCGGCCCCCAATGGATTGCGGTTTTCCAACACCGCCCCTCCGCCTTGCAGGTCAGGCTTTGGCTAGCCAAAGGCTCCGGTTGTGGATTCCTCAAGAAAATTCACCTGCCTTGGCCTGGGCAACTCGGGAGTACTCCACCCACATGCGACTCATGGAAAGTCTTTCTTTTTCATAAAGATTATTGTACCATGATTTATTTGGCACACAGTCTGGATTCAGACGTGTGTGAAAT